TTTCTTGAATGGAGTTAGAAAAAAAATAAATGAAACTGTTTAATTTTGCTTCTTTTGAAATATCTATGGAACCAATTTTAAATCGTCATGTAAATAAGGTCCGAAAATAGAAACTTTTTCCTAATTTAACTGACCTTATATCTCTCAGTTTCTGATTTTCCCTGGCTGACCATCCTTATTTTTATAAGGATATTAATCAGCATGATGAATATTTATCACATACTGCAAATACACTTTGTCTCTTTCATCATGTGAAAACGTATATTCTTAACCTTACAAATATGAAGGACATTAATTGGGAAAAAACTAACTATCTTGGGAAACAGTGCAATGGTCAAAGAAAAATTACAGGGACTTTTTTCCTTCTAGAGTTATACAGGGAAAACTAAAAATGATGTATTTGGAAATGGAAAAATAAATCAGTCCTTTCGACATTTGGTTATATATTCAATATGTAAAGTAGTGCATAAACGTCTGACATTTCTGAACCGATATCAACACCTCATTTATTTTTTTCTGCACAGAAACCAAACAAAGCCTAAGTGTTTAAAAATGGTAAAAGAGTGAGATGCTATTTAAATGTAACAAATTACACAACAATCGTATTTTGACCAAAAACCAATATTTTTGTTACTTCATCGCTTCATCAATATTTGTAATGAAATAGACGGGAACACAAAACGTTTGATCAGAGATCTATTGTTACATCATTATAGTGCATTTCAAGTACAAATTCTACTCATAATAAACAAAAACAGCATTTTCAGTTTTTCCTGTATAACTCGGAAGGGCGAAAGTCCCTGTATATTTTCTTTAGCCATTGTACTATTTTCCACGATAGTAACCTATTCCATTCAATCGTCTTCATACCTGTTGAACTTTAGAATATGGCAATGTTTCCTCATGAAAGAAACTTTCTCTTACGTATGTTAGGAATCAAAAAACTACAAGGCTGAGACAAAGTATAACATTTATTACCTGTGGAATGATTCAATGGGTCATATTCATATTCTTTACTTTCTCAAAATTTCAACTAGTTTTGTTTTACATATAAAAAAGTAAGTGTGCATTATGTAATTACTCATATACATATCATATATATTCACCATATATATCCTATACTCAACAGCTAGTAAAAAATAATAGAATTCAATAGAACATTCAACACTTACCATTTTTCAAAATGATTTTTATCACAAGAAATAGCAGTAGTAAAAAATCTTCTTGAATGCGAGGGTCATTTTTCAAGTTTTTATAAGAGGTAGAAAACAAATTTTTTTGTACAACTGTCAAAAGAATTTGACATTTTTGCATCTCTGTTGATGTGTAAATATTTACTTTTCTTCACCATGAAAAAAATCTTTTTACTACCGTGAAAGTAATTTACAAAATAAACATAAAATATTACTTTCTGAAGGATTTACTTTCAACAGTGTCACTTATTAATTGATTGTTCATCATAAAACAATTTCATTTATTGGAATAAGAATTGATAGTAAAATTTTAACAACTACTTCCATCCATCTTCTTGAAAATAACTTA